GACTATTCACAAGCAATTCAATACCTCTTTAAATGAAAAAAAGGAAATGTAAACAGCAGTCTACTAACAAGCATCAGGGAACAGGAAATCGTAGGTGATAGGACACTTTCTAAATGAAAATGCTTGATTCCTTATTAGCAACTCTTAGTGTAAAGGAATTAATTGCTATTTATTTCTGATCCATGATGCACTATAGTACTAGATGAGAATCTCTCCTGATCTAGAATACTCAGAAAAATATTGAGTAGGTGGATGGCTCATTAAATTTAATTAGTTGTGCTGCAGCACTTCATAAGAAATTGAGGGATATAATATGAATCAGAGCAGTTAGGGCAAATCTACTGTAAACAAGAGGCTGAAAAGCAGCCTTTCCGCAACATGACAGCGGTACAGAACATAAGTTGAAATATTACCTACAGAAAAGGCAGCAGACTCATCACTAGAACCATAGAATCATGGAATGGTTTGGGTTGGAAGGGTCCTTAAAGACCATTGAGTTCCAGCCCCCCTTCCCACGGGCAGGGCCCCTGCCCCCAGCCCAGGGGGCTCCCAGCCCCGTCCAACCTGGCCTTGAACCCTTCCAGGGAGGGGGCAGCCACAGCTGCTCTGGGCACCCTGGGCCAGCGCCTCAGCCCCCGCACAGGGAACAATTTCTGCCTTACATCTCATCTAAATCTCCCCTCTGCCAGTTTAAAACCATTACCCCTCATCCTATCCCCACACCCCTGATCCAGAGTCCCCCCCCACCTCTCCTGTCCCCCCTTTAAGCCCTGGGAGGCCGCTCGAAGGGCTCCCCGGAGCCTTCTCTTCTCCAGGCTGAACCCCCCCAACTCTCTCAGCCCGGCCCCCCAGGGGAGCTGCTCCAGCCCCCCCAGCATCTCCGTGGCCTCCTCTGGCCCCGCTCGAGCAGCTCCGTGTCCTTCTGCTGTTGGGGGCCCCCGAGCTGGCCCCAGCACTGCAGGGGGGTCTCCCCAGAGCGGAGCAGAGGGGGAGAATCCCCTCCCTGGCCCTGCTGCCCCCCCTGCTCTGGCTGCAGCCCAGGGCACGGGTGGCTTTCCGGGCTACAAGCGCATGTTGCTGGTTCACAGGCAGTTTTCCATCCACCAACACCCCCAAGTCCTTCTTGGCATGACTGCTCTCCATCCACTCATCACCCAGCCTGTATTGATACCAGGGGTTGCCCTGTCCCAGGTGTCACATAACGTGCTTGATCATGGAAAACTGCCTGCTTGGCAAGAGGACTCCTTGTAACATGGCTTCTTTCTGCCAAAGGACAGCACTGGGATATATTTCAGCTCTTCAGTCACCGAAGCTTTTAAATGTGTATGGTGTCAGGTTTGCCAAATCTCAGCTGTGCCTTTTCCTAGACAAAGTTTCCAATTCTATGCTACAGATTTTCATATACTTGAAGCGGAGTGGTTGGGAAAGATACTGGATTGTCCATCTGTGACAGCAAAACTCTTTTCCATAGAAGTCTACAGCACAAATTACTGCTACGGGTCCTGCCTGGCTTTGGTTAACATACAACTAGATTAACCTTACACTGATTCACCCCTAGCTGAATCTGCCAGGATTAACCTAGTGGTAGTGAAAGGGGTTTGCAAGGACTACTGACAGAAAGAGAGCAACCCCTCTGCCCAGTTGGCACTGGTCATTGTGCAACCATTATTTACTATGTGCTTTATTTACACTGCTTTCAAAGACATTACAATAATGCATAACATTTTCAGTGGATTTTAGGGAAGACAAAGTATTTATTATGATATGATGTAATCCAGGAGAAAAACTCAGTGGAAAAATGAGTAGTCATACAAGAAAAGCCAAGAAAGTAAAAATAAAAAAGAAATCAGTTTCAAACCTACAGGTCACCACCTTAAGACTATTATATGTCCAAGCTTAATAGAACCTTTTTCTTTATTTTCTGTCATCTTAAATTATTGCATATGAAAAACATCAAGCATGACTCTTAGTTCCAACAATACTGAATTAGTTTCCCCCCAATGCACTCTGCGTTTGCATCTACTTTAGTGTGATCAATATGCAACTTTCTGTAAAACACATCACAAAAAAGGTGTTCAGACTTTGTTCCTTGGATTATTTGTCTTACTTGTGGTTTCCTACTCAGATTTAAAATTCTGTTGTATCCAATGGGACTAATCTTTAGTTGAAATAAGTTTCTACTATATGTTGTATGGATGGAGATGCCCATGTGGACAAAAGGATTAGGTAAAAATAGCACTGAGCATTCACGTTGCAGGAGTGAGGTTCTTTCAGGGATTACATGTAGGAATATTAATTAAAGGAATTTTGTTTCATAAGGAATACATCTCAGGAAGAAAGATCCAAAGAAGTGAAATATTCTGACAGTATATTTAGGGATTAAAGTATGACACAGTTCAATACTTGCCAGGAATCACAAAATCACAAAGTCTCAAATAGCTTTTATTTTTTCCTAACTGTCTCTTGCAAAGGAAAATGACACTATGAAAGCAATTTTCCCCAAGCATATCCTTTTTTTTTTTTTTTAATTCTTCAAGAAAGTAGATGTCTGCATGGTATTTCTTCCTTATGTATATAAAATGGATATTGAAAGAAAACATTTGAAAGAATAAAACATGAAGAATTATATTTTTCATCTGTGAAATTTTTACTTCAGGGTAAGTATGCCTCAAATGTAAGCATAACAATTTCATATGGTTCACTTTCTGGGCCATTTTATCCACTGCTCCCATCCCCAAATCCCTAAATTCTTTTTATTTTAACCTGTGTGGGCAACTATTTGTTGTCTCACTTTTGCTAAAGTGGTAGATGTTGCCAAAGGGTATGATTACTCTGAATTAAGGGGAACTGACTGCTATCACATCTCTGAATTCCATATATTTCCTTCACAGGATGATGACTGATGAATCGCACACATCCATCTTTACATCAAATGACAAAGCTGGCAAGCAGGTGGGTGTAAAGAAATTGGAATTAAAGCCTTACAGAGATTTGCTTAGCTCAAAAGTTGTAAAGGTTTATTTAACCTGGAGAAAAAGTTACACTGTCTTCATGTGTTTGTGTTGAACAGGGAAAGTATAATTGATGTATTGGTACCCACCTAATGAGACACTGTCTTGGTTTGGGCTGAAATAGAGTTAATATTCCTTTTCAGGGACTAGATGAGTGCTGTGTTTTGGATTTAGCTTTGGGTTTGGTATGGGAAAAATGCTGATAGCACACTGATGTTTTCAGCTGCTGCCGAGACTTCAAGGACTCTCTGACTCCCCATGTCCTGCCCGTGCGCAAGGGCACAGGGAGCAGGGAGGGAGCACGGCCAGAGCACCTGACCCTGACTGGCCAGTGAAATATTCCATATCATGGGACGTCATGCTCACTGTATAGAGGAGGGGTGGTTGGGAAGGAGCTCTCTCTCTCTCGCTTCCAGGATTGTGATTGTGGGATCTTGGTATCTCGGGGTCGCTGGCCGGGAACAGGCTGGGGGTTGGTCAGCGGGTGGTGAGCAATTACACTGTACATTGCCTGTTTATATATCTCTTTTTGTTTTCCCCCATCATCGTTATTGTTCTCGTTTTATTGCCATTATTAAACTGTTCTTATCTCAGCCTGCGAGTCTCCCTTCACCCCTCTAATCCCCTCCCCCATTCCCAGGTGGGGAGGGGGAAGGGAGGGTGATTAGCTGCGGGGGTTGGGTGCCGATCAGGCCCAAACCACGACAGACACGATAAACATTCTATACTTACATACAGCAGCATCTTCCAGTGTCTCCAAAAGCAAAACATAGTGACTCACACCACATGAACACACATCCATGCAAAACTATAGTTGTACACGTCAGACAGCCCTTCACTGTGGCCAGCTAAAGAATATACAGAATATAGTAGAATATACAAATGTTGGGGAGCACATAACAGCACTAGAGCACCAAGTACAAAAAAGAACAGTGCATCAGATTTTAAATTATCCTGAAAATTCTCTGGCACAAAGCAGATTTAGCTATGCAAACAATGACAACTTCTTGGACAGTATTAAGGAAGATCTATAAATTGGTGGGGGTTTTCCCTTCAAAGTAATATGGGATTGACAAACAACTTCGGAAGAATTCATGGTTAATAATTTAAAATTGCAAAAAAATCTTCAGCACCCAATTTTGAGTATAATACATCAGTGAAAAACTCCTGGAAATACAGAACGGATATGTCCATTATTGCACAATAAATGAGATTTGGTAATCAGAGTATCTTTCTACTGTTTGATTAATAGTTTATGAAAATTATGATACCAGAATAAGCCAAAGAAGCAAACTTACTTAGCAAAAACTCTCAATTCAGTATTAACTAAAGGTTTTGTCTTGCAATTAGCAGCTCAAACAAGTTCTGAAAACGTATAAAAAAAAAGTACTTGTACAAACTAGAATAAGACAAACTACCAGAATTATACTCACAATCTGTATTCTCACCAGGTCCTGTAAATGCAGTTATTTCATAGCAAACACATACAGTATGTGGTTCCATATTTATAAATAAGACAAAAAACAATCCACTTCCATTAATTTAAACTTCAGGTCAATGCACTTAAGCCTCTGAGTTACAATTCAATATACACTAACAATGAAAAACTTTCTACTTACATCTTTATTCTATCCATGCAAAGAAGAGCATTACTCAGAAAATATTCAGTGTGCAAAAGTTGACCATTCATACTGGAACCTCTATGAGATTAAGAGATCACAGCTAGTTTTTCATCACAATACTGCTGCTGCAACTATCTTGGTTTTTAAGTTAACCACAATATACCACAGAGCACCTTAAAAAAATGTATTTGTAATGTTTTGTGGTACTGAAGAAGGTATCTGAGTTGGGGCAACTTTAAATTTATAAAGTGTACTTGTTCCCAAATTAAGTCAAAGAAAAGCTATTAATTTTTTAACACAAAATGTTGTTTTCAATAAACGTTGGTTCCATCAAAAACTAAAAATCAACACCACTGAGATTCCATCCTTCAGGGAGAATACATTTATTCAGACAAGTTTATTCTCCTCTCTACCCCTATGCAAGGCATTAGATTGTGCAGTCATCTTAAAATACTGGAAAAAATAGATGCATCTACAGTTTAAATGTGTTTTAATAAGTTCTAATTATATGAATGAAGCCATAGATTTCAACTGGTTACTTTATCTATGTTCTAATTTAGTGTCTTGGAATTTCCTGTAATTTCTTTTCCCTATTCATCTCTGCAGTCATCTTGTTTTCTTCAATGTAGCTTATAGAAAAAAAGAAGATAAAGAAGTGTTATATCTGCAATATAAATGAAATTAAACCAAAACTTTTTTGGTTTGTAATTTCTTTGCTCTTAGTAGGAAACCATTGAAGTAACTGTCAAAATCCTATAAACCTTATTTCAATTTAATTTGGATGGCACAACATGCCAGAGAAGTCTTCTGTAAATTGAAAAACTTTCTACTGTAGTATTATAATTTAGCTACTCAGTTACCTCGGTATTGACTGGGACTCATAGCAGCACTTTGCTCAATTACGATTCTTGCTTTCCTCACTCTAAAGCTAGATATTTAGTCCTTGAATAAAGCATCCCACCTGAGCACAGGAAAGACCTGATCTACAGGAAAGATGGGGAGGGACACTTTACCAGGGCCTGTTGTTATTGTACAAGGGGTAATGGTTTTAAACTAAAAGACAGATTTTGACAAGATATAAGGAAGAAATTGTTTACAATGAGGGTGGTGAAACACTGGCACAGGCTACCCAGGGAGGTGATAGATGCCCCATCCCTGAAAATGTATAAGGTCAGATATGACAAGGCTCTAAGCAACTTGATGTAGTTGAAGATGTCCCTGCTTTTTGCTGATGTGGGGGGAGGTGTGGTGTATGGGGAACTAGAAGGCCTTTAAATGTCCCTTCCAACCCAAACTATTCTATGATACCCTCCTAAATTTCATAAAGTTTTCTTGAATTTTCCTTTACAGAAGGGATTGACTTTTTCATGCAAACGTGATGTGCCATTAGTACTCAGTGTTTGAAGAACTGTAGTATGTTAAAGTCTTTTAGCTACAAAACCTGGTCATTGCAAAAGACTAAACCCATGAAAATTAATATGTTTTCATTTTAATTTAATAAGTTAAGTATTTTAACTGTCCATCTCACAGTAGCTATTTACTCCTCTATACAGAAAAATAATCCCAAGTACGTAACAGCTATCTATGTTGTCAAAATAAGAAGCAATCTTCACTGAGTTTAATACAAGGAAAGTCGCATCGGATTCTCTATGTTGGCTTTCAAGGTCTCCAGAAACTTTGAAGCCAGTTCATCATCTACCACCCGACCATCACTTGAAAGAGTCACTGTCATGAGTTGATGCCGCTTAAGTTTCTCATTCCCTTCTTCATCTTCCACAATCTTGAGCTCTGGTCTTGCTCGGCCCACAGCCAGGATGCAGGCCTGCGGAGGGTTTATGACTGCAGTGAAATCATTGATGCCAAACATGCCCAGGTTGGAAATACTAAATGAAAGAGAAAAGAGTTACCAGTACTATCAGAAATTATACATCCCATAGAAGAAATAATTTATATTCAGTGACTACTATGACCTAATTCTCTCCCAAGGCCAAACCCATTAACTTCTAAATAGATCTGAACTGAATTTCTGTTGAGCACGTTCAGACTCCCAAGGCTTTGGGATTTTTGCAATTACAAATAATGCACCTTTTTAAAAGTCTAATTTCTTTACAACAATATACCCTTGCATTCCACACACTAAAGGCAGAAAAGAGGACAGGAAACTGGTATCTTCAAATAAACTTTGCCTGTCTTTGTTCTGTGTCAAATGTCCTTTAGATTGAACCTCACAACTTTTAAACTACAGTGGCTACTGATAGCCAAGTGACACAATTTGGGCATCTAGATATCACTCAGGCATAGGAAAGCCTATTCACACCTTTCTCCTATGAACATAGAATCATGGGATGGTTTGGGTTGGAAAGGACCTTTACAGGTCATCTAGTTCCACCCCCCCTGCCCCGGGCAGGGCCCCCTTCCCCCAGGCCAGGGGGCTCCCAGCCCCGTCCAACCTGGCCTTGAACCCTTCCAGGGAGGGGGCAGCCACAGCTGCTCTGGGCACCCTGGGCCAGCGTCTCACCACCCTCACAGGAAAAGATTTTTCCTTATATCTAATCTAAATCTGCCCTCTTTCAATTTCAAACCATTACCCCTCATCCTATCCCCACACCCCCTGATCCAGAGTCCCTCCCCCCCTCTCCTGTCCCCCCTTTAAGGCCCGGGAGGCCGCTCGAAGGTCTCCCCGGAGCCTTCTCTTCTCCAGGCTGAACCCCCCAACTCTCTCAGCCCGGCCCCCCAGGGTTGCTGCTCCAGCCCCCCCAGCATCTCCATGGCCTCCTCTGGCCCCGCTCGAGCAGCTCCGTGTCCTTCTGCTGTTGGGGGCCCCCGAGCTGGCCCCAGCACTGCAGGGGGGTCTCCCCAGAGCGGAGCAGAGGGGGAGAATCCCCTCCTTCGACCTGCTGGCCACTCTTCTCTTGATGCAGCCCAGGACACAGTTGGCTTTCTGGGCTGTGAGTGCACATTGCTGGCTCATGCCCCTATTTTCATCCACCAGTACCCCTAAGTCCTTTTCCACAGGGCTGCTCTCTGTTGTTTCATTGCTCAGTCTGTATTGATACTTGGGATTGCCTCAACCCAGCTGCAGGACCTTGCACTTGGCCTTGTTGAACCTCAAGAGATTCAGACAGGTCCACTTCTCAAGCTTGTCCAGGTCCCTTCAGATGGCATCCCGTCCCTCAGGCGTGTCAACTGCACCACTCAGCTTAGTGTCATCTGCAGACCTCCTGAAGGTGCACTCGATTCCACTATGTCATTGATAACATATCAAACAGTACTAGTCCCAGTATGGACCCCTGAGAGACATCATTCATCACTGACCTCCACCTGTACATTGAGCCATTGACCACTACTCTCTGGATGCAACCATCTAGCCAATTCCTTATTCACCAAATAGTCCACCCATCAAATCCATCTCTCTCCAATTTAGAGAGAGGGATGTCGGGGGGACCATGTCAGAGGCCTTACAGAAGTCCAGACAGACGACTTCCGTAGCTCTTCCCTTGTCCACTGATGTTCCATCACAGAAGGCCACTAGGTTGGTCAGGCAAGACTTTCCCTCCGTGAAGCCATGCTGGTTGTGTCAAATCACGTTCCTGCCCTCCATGTACCTTAGCATAACTGCTAGGAGGATCTGTTCCATGATCTTCCCAGGCACAAAGGTGAGGCTGACAGGTTGGTGGCTCCCAGGGTCCTCCTTTCTACCCTTTTAAAAAATGGGTGCAATGTTTCCCTTTTTCCAGTCACTGGGGACTTCCCCCGGCTGCCATGACTTTTCAGATATCCTGGAGAGTGGCTTGGCACCTACATCAGCCAGTTCCCTCAGGGCTCTGGGATACATCTTGTCGGGTGCCATAGACCTACATGTATGTTCAGGCTCCTCGGGTAGTCATGAACCTGATCTTCTCTTGCAGTGGGAGGGACTCTGCTCCCCCAGTCTCTGCCTTGAGGTCCATCCACTCCAGAGGTGTGAGAAGAGAGGTTGCCAGTGAAGACTGAGGCAAAAAAGTTGTTGAGTACCTCAGCCTTCTCCTTGTCCATTGTTACCAGTGTGCCGCTCTTGCTCATCAGGGAGTGGTACGCTTTCTTTGACCTTCCTTTTCTGGCTGACATACCTGCAGAAGTCCTTCTTATTCTTTGTGTTCCTTGCCAAGTTCGGCTCTAGCCATGCCCTGGTCTTCCTGACCCCATTCCTACACAACAAGGCAGTGTCCCTATACTCCAGAGGATGCCTGTCCCTGGTTCCACTGCCTGTGCATTTCCTTCCTGCCCTTTCATTTGACCTGTCTCTGGTCAAATAAGAGTCTCTTGCCTTCCTTCCCCATTTCTTACACCTGGGGATCAAGAGCTCTTGAGGTCTGTGGAAAGCATCCTTAAATGCCTGCCAGCTCTGTTTTGCCCCCTCATCCCTGAGGGCAGTTTCCCAGGGGATCCTATTGACTAACTCCCTGAACAGCTGGAAGTTTGCTTTCCTAAAATCCAGGGTCCTGACTTTACCCTTTGCCTGACCCATACCTCTCAAGACTGAGAACTCCACCAGTGCATCATCACTGCAGCCCAGTCTGCCTCACATCTTGACATCAACGTTCACTTGCACTGGTGACCATCAGGTCCAGTATCACATTCCCTCTGGGAGGGCTGTCTGTTGCCTGGCTGAAGAAGCTTCTGGATTGCGTATAGATCACGCTGCTACTTTCCCAGCAGATGTCAGGCCAGTTGAAGTTCCCCAGCAGGACGAGAGCCTGTGAGCCCGATGCCTCCTGTAGCTGGAGGAAGTGTCCGTAGGCTCCCCTTGACCAAAAAACCCCACCACTCACTCAAACCCAGGTCAGGCGGCCTGGAGTACACACCAACCACAAGGTTCCCTTTGTTGCCTTGGTCTCTAATTCTTACCCATAAGCTTTCAACCTGCTCGTGGCCATTCTTCAGAGACAGCTCTTCACACTCTATACATTTCTTGATGTAGAGGACAAACCTTCCACCCCTCCTTCCTTGCCTGTCCCTTCTGAATGGACTATAGCCTTCAATAGCTGCACTCCAGCCATGGGATTCACCCCACCAAGCTTCAGTAATGGCAACTGGGTTGTAGCTTTCTAGCAGCGCTGTGGCTTCCAAGTCTGCCTGTTGGTTGCCCATGCCGCATACACTGGTGTAGAGACACTTCAGCTGGGCTGTTGGCTCTGTCACCTTCTTAGAGGAACACCCCTTAATTCCTGTGAGGTATTTCACTGCTCTTTCCTTGTTGTTTCCTTCTACCTCAGGAGCCCCTGGCTCATCTCTGTATGACTTCCACTGTGCTCCTGTAGCCAGCATGTCTCGGAGCAACAGGCTGAGGGCCCTTGCTAGTGCCCCATCCCTCTAACCTTGGCATGTCATCCCACAGTTGGTCATGGACGAGCCTGATAGTATCCCCCTCCCCCTTCAAGTCTAGTTTAAGGCTCTGCCAATGAACCCTGCTACCTTGCGAGCAAAGACCCTCTTTTCCCTTTGAGAAAGGTGAATCCCATCTAATGCCAGCAAACTGGGTGCTATGTAGGCCATTCTATTATCAAAAAACCCCAAATCGTGGTGGCAACACCAGCCACGGAGCCATATATTAATAGACTGTTTCTTCCAAAGTCACTGCCCGCAACTGGAATATTGCTCCAGATTCCCTTACCAGCTGCCGCAAGGCCCTGAAGTCTCTTTTGATCACTCCTGAACTATTTGTTATGGCTTCATTGCCAACCATGCGGAAGAGCATTAACGGGTATTAGTCTGAGGGCCATACCAGGACAGGAAGTTTCCTAGTGATGTCCTTAACCTGGGCCCCAGGGAGGCAGACTTCCTGAAGAGAATGATCTGTCTGGCATATTGGACCATCTGTTCCCCTCAGAAGGGAGTCACCTACAACTATAACTCATCTTGTCATCCTCGTGGAGGTGGTCATGATACAGGGCAGTAGGCCTTTCTGACCTTGGCAACACCTGTGGTATGGACGGTCCATCATCCACATCATCCATTGACTGGCCTTCCACATCCGGTGCCTCATACCTGTTGGACAGAGGCACCTGGGAAGGTGAGGTGGGCAAGGAGTGGGTTCACCTGCAGCCCTGAGCATGGATTTACCTCCATTTACTTCTGTCCTTTTAAGCTACCGCCTTCAGCCTGGCAGGGCGAGAATACAGGATCCCCTTGATCTTGTTTTTTTTCTGGTGGCTGCTCCTGTTTGTCTCAGAGAGGGCAGAGCATTGTTCCACCAGCCTATCTATTTCTCAGACTCCTTGATGCTCCTTAACCTTTCTACTTTCTCTCATAGCTCTGCTACCATGCTGAGCAGATGATCCACCTGGTCAAATCTCACACAGCTGTTCTCACTACTGCCTTCTGTTATCAGTGAAATACCCACAGTTATTCACTCTCAGAGGCCATCTGTGTTGATGAAGACATCCAAACTTCCACTGCTGCATTTCCATATGATTTTTTCTGCTGAAAGGCTTGGAGATTTTTTTGACCAGTCCTCCAGCACGAGAGCCACATACTCCAGACAGTTGCAACTCAGGCACATTAATATACATTACAGCAATGTTTCTGCAAAAGTCTGTAGTATTACTCTCATGACAAATAATCTATTATAGAAGATATGATTAACATAAGCATTCAGAATTGGCTTTTAAAAAATTGACAAAAAAATGAGCTAAGCTAAAGTTTATGTAACAAAAAATGTTGCTTGATGATACTGTGTCACAGAATACATTAAAATATTAGAAACTTGGGGAATGTAAAAAGTCAGCTGAGAAATCAATTGTGCAACAGTGTCACTACATTTATGCTAATGTTTTACACACGCTATTTACTTCTCATTACTGAGTTCACTAGCTCTTGCAGATTATGTATTATAGAAAAAATACTAAATATATACTATGTAAAATTGATCTACTGAGTTTTTAATGTTTCAGTTAGAAGTAAACTGTAAGAGTTAATAACACAAATTTGCTGTAACTTCTTTCTGTCCCTCTTGAGAAATTTCTCTGAAGAGTGAACTGAAGACAAACTGCACATCACTGTTGCTATACCTCTGTCAAATAACTCATTTTAAAATATTTATTTTAAAACTATTATCAATGGGTTTTTCTAATTCCAGAGTGCAATTGAAAACACAAACAAACAAAAACCCCAACATTCTTCTGCAATTGGGAAAAATTAGATGCAAAAATAAAAGTCAGATCAATCTCAGCATGAAAAAACAAATTTCACACCAGGCTTAGATGAAATAAACCTGTACCAAGATATTTGTTTCCCCTGATACAGGACATTCTGCCTAGGTTTGGCCCTCAGAAACATCATATGGAGTGTCATCCTAAATGGAGCAAGACTTTAAAAGGCAATGCATTAACACACTGTGGAACAGCTGAGGATAAAACAGTTCTGAACCCACACTGCACGTATTGAATGCTGCTAGAGAGTTTTACCTAAAAGATCCTCCCTGGTACTCTTCTGGTAACAGCTTTCCATCTCTTGCTTTCTTTGCTAGAGCCTAAGTAAAATGAAAGAAGAAAAAGGAGAGAGGAAGTGTTTTAATAGACTTATTCTTTTTACTTCAGTAAGACATGGTAAATACCATACAGCCATTAAAAAGTCATCTGCTTTTGGAATTAGGGAAGCACCTCAGCAACACTGTTGCTGCAGCTGCAATGATTTAGCAAAGAGACTGGGATACAAAACTTAATTTTCCCAATGATACTGGCTGTTTAATAAAATCTGTTCTCTCATCTCACAAACCTTGCTCCAGTTTCCACAATGGACCCACCATTCCCTCTGGTGTTTTTAGATTATAAAAATTTCTATCAAAATACTGATGAGAAATTCACAGTATTCTTAACATATTTTATTAAAGAAACTGCCATGCACCACTTTAGAACTTTTTAGTAGATTGAGAGAATATATTTATTCCAGCTAAGCATTTAAGTACCCTAAAGACCACCCTTCCTGTGACCTCCAGTTCATTTGTGAGACTTTTCTACTTCTAAACAGAAGGAACTGTCCATAGAAGTTTTGTTCAAAAAAGAAGTTCCAGGAGTTCATGCTATGTTCTAAGGTAAGATCACAGAGAAAAGGAACTTTATCCACACCTAGGGTGTTTCTAGCTCAGTGGTCTCCTTAGATGGAATCCTTAGTGGGAATCAGAATGAATAATTCTTACAGTAGGTGTCACATAAGGAAGAAAGGACTGTGCGGACCTCAAGAGAAATGGTGGGTGAAGGGACAGTTCTTCAGCCACCGACATGTTCCTTACACTCTGTGAGTACCCAATGGAAAAGGTGCCAGATGACTTCTCCATTAGTAGCAACCTTTTCAAAATCAGGAGCTCTTCAACTGACAGCAGAGACTGAAGTGGGAATATATGCAGGACAGATGATCTGTCCTATCCATACAGAATACATTTAGTGTTTTTGGCTTGTATCATATTTATTCCACATTTCGAAAATCACATGGAAAATGTTGCATTGTGGCAATTGCAGTATTATGACATTTTAAGAAAAATAACTGTTTCCAAAAGCACAGTCAGGAAAATAGACTCAGATCTGCTTCTGGGAAGACTAATAAAAGCAACACAAGTCTGTTTATATTTTCCTTCTGGTAAAAAGAATAAAAGTAATGATAGTTTCCAATAATTTTATTATGTTAGGGAAATTTCTGTGGAAGAGAATAAAAACCAAAATCTACTCTATTACAATATGAAAAAAAGTAATACCTCACATTTGTGAAACTTTCTGAGGAGAATATTATTGCATGAATCCCCTCTGTTTTCTAGGAATTTACCACTCACTTTTTAGGAATGCTACTGCTGTTTTCTAGGATTTTTCCCATGTTCTTCCTAGGAATTTACCTTTTCTTCTCCTTCCCCCCCCCAAATAATTCAGGCTTACACCAAGTTTTACAAAACTCTGACACCCTTACTATGAATTAAGAAGTTCAAAGGACACACTGAATTTTATTTTAGGCTTTTATTCATCTCTGGATAATTAGTGAACCAGAGGACAATACACATGGGAACAGCATTCACACAACTGGGTCAATATGAACATAATGCATATGTGCTATTGCATTATTTGAATGATGAAAATATGGTGCTAGGATGCACGTGATCTGTAAGGAAGTTAAAATTAACATGCAGCAGAAGGGGACATATAAGTAATCTACACAAAGAAAGTATCTGCTAAACTACAGGGATACAGGTAAAGAAGTAGCTGCAGTTTCAGTTTGTGCCTCCCACATGTGCATGTCAGGTACCCATTTATTTCAATAATTCAGTGAAGAAGATGAAAAGCAAAATTATGTTGGTGTGGACACCTGCAATCTATGTGACCCAATGACTTCCATATTGAGTAGTGTGAGTTAGATTAAACACATTCCGTTTTAAATGAAAGGGGAATGCTTATTTTATCATGGCCCTATTAAACATAATGCAAGCACAGACTCCCATTATGGGAACTACAGGACACTACTTTATGGTAGGAGAGGTTTGTAATACTGCATTAGTATCAAAGGTATTGGGTATGATAAAGAAAGCACAGTCTATACTTCACTTCTCAATGTTTTCTTCTTGTCATTCTATCACTAATCACAGAATAATGTAACAAACTCAGCTGACCTTCCTCCTTGGTTGGCTATTGCATTAGTGAAAAGATTTGCTTTCACAACACATTCAACATGAAGCAAGCAATATGGACTGGAAAAATTTTAAAAACATACAATTATGAATGTTTTGTGGCATGACACACCTTTTTCTGTTACAACTTTGTTGATTCTTCCCCTCTACCACCACAGACTATTACAATTCCTGTAGTTTTCAATAAAAAACAAAAATTTATAATGTGCAGCTTGTGTCTAGTTTTTGGACAGTTTTATGTCTCAAAAAGCTACTTCCATTGCATTCCCCAGATACTGTAGGCCTCTGATAATCAGCCATTAAATGACAAAAAAAAGGATCAATCTCAAACCCAAAATCTCAAACCCAAAGACTGGAAACACTGAAGAAGTTAACATTAATCCTCATGAGAAAGCTAGATAAAGAAATATAATTATATTAAATTGCAGAAGTCTGTACAGGTTTATTTTTCAAACAGTCTAGCCAGCATTCAACCAAATAACATGATGGCTAAATTATTGTTAACTAAAAATTAACAGAATTGCAAAATGAATAATAATTGTAAAGTCTAAGGAACGCTGAAAGTGCTTTAGATCCATTTTGAAATTGCTCTTGTTATTAATGATGTGTATCTGGGTCATGCTACATTTTCTGCTGCAAAAACTATCTAGCTACTATATTCCTCAGCCTACTGTACATTTAAGACCTACCTTTGCAGAGGCAGCAATTTCCTTTATTCCCTTGGTAGCAACATCTTTTATGATTGGTGTAATGAGACCTCGGTCTGTTGCCACAGCAATAGAAATGTCAATGGACTGCAGTTGCCTGCAGACTTCTCCATCCCAGGTTACGTTCACATCTGGCATTTGCTAGAAGAGAGAGAGAATAAAAAAAGCTGTTAAAAGAACAATGATGTAATCAATTATTAAGAAAAAGAAAAATCCTTTAAGACATGTAGCCACATACAGGCATTCACTAAATTAACTAGTGCCTCAGACTGCTGTCTGTAAATGAAGGTAAAAGAACAGGTCACATCTGTCATCAGGACTGCCATTAGCAAGAGAAAAAAACACAAAAAACAAATCTCTGTGAGGGGGGGTGTCTAAGAACAGATGTACATGATTCTCTTGTTTTCATTTTATTTAAATGTACTTTGTCAAAAAGCATGAATGGATGCTCCAGGAACTGAAAATGGCAGGGCAGCCAGAAAGTTTTTTGGTGCTGCTGGAAAAAAAGTTAATAAAAGCCTATAAATTCCTTCAGGAGTCACTGATACCACCATACGAATGCCCAGCATGCAAAGCTACAAAGCAGTGCTGTCTCATGTAAGTGGTCATAGATACTGTGGAGGTACTACTTCCAATAAATCCAAGCTTATTATTTAGTGACCTTAAGGACTTCATAGTGGAGATGGTATTCCAGAAAAAAGTGAGGGACACATTATCTCTATCTAGACTAACTCCACTATCCATCTATCTCTATCTAAACTAACTCCACTCCTAGAAGCAGCAGTGTAACAGTATTCTCAGTTCCTTCAACACCAAAATGTATACTAAAAAAAAAGAAAAAAAAAAAAAGAAAAAAAAAAGGTGGTAGTACACCTCTTCATCTCTTTGCGAGTTAAATAAACTTCAGGAAAATCCCACGGTATACACAGTTGTAAGATGCCTTCTAGTGGGTGTGGTGTGCAAGTATGACTCTCTGTATAAGGTATCTAAATATCCAAAACAGATGGTAGGGAGTCAATAGAACTTCAGTTTCCCTATGATTAGAATAGTCTTGATTTTAATGTAGACCAGTATTATTTCTCCCATCACTTCAGCAATTAAAGATTGTTTATTTTTGAAGGACAGCTACTATAGTGGCTGTTGCTACTAAGCCCAACCACTTGTGTATATCTGCCTGGAAGTTTTTCTTCCTTCCTCCAGCCTTTCTCCTCCCTGAAGGCTACAATTGTTCTAAGGGACTATCATCTGATGAGCCCACTGCCACACTCACAAAACAATGGCTGTCAAACAGTGAGACCAAGCTGAAAAGTAGAATACATAATTGGACTTGCAACACTAAGACCTGTGAAGAAGAAATTCAGCATGCTAAAGAACCGATATAAGCACTATCTTGAGGTGCTTGCCAAGCAATCACAAACTGTCAAGCCAGCTGCTGTCAGTTCATTCAAGCTATAAGAAAGAAAATATTAACAAAATATGATTTGAACAGTGCCCAGAAAAGAGTCAATAAAACTGTCTTACAAATGCATTCACACCACTGAATTTTGGGGTGGGGAGGAGCAGGAGGAGGTGGGGTTTCTTTTTTAAACTAGTAGTCCACATATTTTCCTGAAACACTGACAGAAAGTAGTTGAGACATGAACTGGATCATGAACTTATTTCTTGGTATACTGAGTTAAATATGGGTTTTCTTTTGTTGTCCTGCTTTTTTTTTGTTTTGTTTTGTTTTTGTTGTTGTTGTTGGTTTTGTTTGTTTGTTTTTTTAATTTATTCTTTTAATAGTTGAACACATGCTAGCATAGAAACAATAGGATAGGACAGCTAGTTTAATGATTACTTCCGTATAAACACAATATTAATGTATTAATGGCCCATTAGAAAAAAAGCCCAAGAGCCAGAAAACAAACCACCTCAGTTTCTTCTAACCCAATGCACGAGAACTCCAGCTTCTCAGAAACAGACCTGGAACACCAACAAATTTACAACCAGCAATGCACTGATTTTACCAGGCTGTATGCATTATCATTTACTGGGTTTGGCTGCTGAATTTTCTTTAAGAAAGTTAAAAATGACACAATACAGATGACTTTCTCATGTTTGCAGCATGGAACTATCTAATCCTTAGGTTCAAGATACAAATGCTGTACTACAAGTGTCATCTGAAAATACTAGGAAAAAAATACAAATCTAATCACAGACTAAATATTTTTATTTGTGTATCAGAAAGAGAAATCATATTTATGAAATTCATTGGTTAGGTCATTTTATGATGGCAGATAAGGAAATCTTATTTTAAATAATGGTAATGAACAACATGCATAATTGAAACAGAAAAGGCCCAAACAATAGGCCTCAAACCAAAGTTGACTTCTGAGTGAATTCCCCGACCAGCAATCAGCATCTTATCAGCAGAAGGAAGCAACCAGCATTTTATCAGTGTGAAAATGCAACCCTGGGAACAATCCCTGGGAACTATAAGTAAACAATAGGAAGTAACTATAAATCCCAAATGTAAAGAAAAACAGAAACTCCTCAGACATGCCTGGATCCTGGCCAGATCCGGACACGCCTGAGTGAGGCATGTCAATCTACCAGATATCTCCTGTGCATTTTGTATAGACTTGTTTGTTAAACTGTGTAAAAGCCGGGCCCTCCCCCAGCACAGACGCAGACCCCACCTACGAGCGGACGCCCTGCGTGGGACTTCCCAGCTGCCGGGAAAGGCTCTGCGACCCTTCGCTGGGACGGGGCTCCCCAGCTGGTGCACGGGGCGGGGGGATGGGAAAGCAGGAGGGCAACTGGTGATGTACCTTTCTTAATCACTATAGCTAGCTTTAAATAGTAATGTCTAGGTGCATTACCTTGCTTATTCTTTCTGCTGCTTTAAACAGTAATGTCTAGGTGCATCACCTTGCTTATTATTTCTGCTGTTTTAAACTAAAGTAAAATAAGCCTATTTCTTTAGCTTGGTGTCTGTGTCCTTTGTGTTAACCCCATCAACTGGCAGAACCAATTTGGTGTCACGGACAGGATTAGAACAAAATGTCATTTTTTAAATCTAAACATAATGAATCAGCTCCATCTGAAATTCCTGGATGGGAAGACCTTCCTTACAGTTCACTGGCTCTTGAATGGGCTAAGGTCGGAGGACCATGTGAACAGTGGGAAAGTCAGCTAAAAGAAGCTGAACCACTGGATGTATTAAAATGTATCCAAACATTATCTATCGAAAAAGGAAAAGAAATTGTGTGTTCGGGAAGACGGGGATGGGTTTTGTTAACAGCATATCGGAAACAGCACCGACAGAAAGAAAAACTGTTGTTAGAGCTCTCCCACATGGAGCGACAGATGTGTGATTGGCAGAATCAAATTGTAATGGTACAGTGTCAAAACAAGTTGCTTGCCGGTAAGTTGGATCCTTATCAGACTGTAGCTGAAAGAGCTGCAGTAAGAATTGCACAGTATAAGAAAAGGAGGGGACGAGTAAACCGTAGGAACGTGCGTGCTGTGATTTCAGAAGCAGGGGTACAGTGGGATCCTGACAGATGGGGTGGAGATATTTGGGATTCTACAGGTTCTGATGAGGCTGGTTCCTCAGATGAACCTGTGGATGTAAAACCAATGTGGAGACGGAAAATAGAATTGGATACTAATGGGCAACAAGTAAGGAGGGGTGTGATTGAGGATTATACTCAGCATGAAATAAATGATATAATTGAAAGATTTAAGCAGAGACCGGGGGAACCCCTGCTCTCTTGGATGGTGCGTTTGCACGATCAGGGAGCAGCAGGGGTAACCCTAGATCGAGGGGACTCTAGGAAGTTTTTAGTTTTGAGTTCTGACTCCTTTGTGCAAGATGCATTCCGAAATAATCCTCAGGATACAAATTTGTTAACCTTGGCTGCCCGGGGATGTAATAATAAATACCCCACGGAGAATGATTGGCCAGGTGGGGAACGTCCCTGGTATGCTTTGCGAGATGGTATACAGCGGGTGAAGGAGGAAGGGATGAAACTGGCAATCTTTATAGGAGACCCTGACAGAATGATGCAAGCTGCCTTGTCTGTCACTCATAGAAACCGACTGATTAAAACTGCCCCACCAGCATATAAAAATGTAATAATGACTCAATTAATGAGACCGGAAATCCCACTGATGAAATAATTGAAAAAATACAGCAGCTAGGTGATCTTGGAGAATGGGGCCCCCGAGGAAGTGCAGGAAACTGAGATACTCGGGACAGCCCTAAAGGAAGTGAGAACAGAGTTTCTCTCAAGGAAATGCTTACAGCTTTATTGAAGGATGGCCTATCTCGTGAAAAGATCGATGGTGTTCCAGCTAACGAGCTGTGGCGAATATACAAACAAAGAGGGCTGAATAAGTCTAGCAGGAGAGTGCAGAGTTCTGAAACTAGGAATCCAGGGGTAACTCAGCCTACAGCACCTCCTCCTGAGCCCCAATGGGACTTCCCATCTGCAGAGGGTGGGCCCTCCGTGGGCAGATCAGTTGTTCTGGGGGAAAGGGAGAATTTGAAGCTGTATTCTGATTTATACCCATGGAAGGAGACTAGGGAAATTGTCCAGCGTAGTAAACAGGAATGAAATTATGGCCAAGCTCCAGTGCAATGGGCACGGAAGGACCGACGGCCCCATGTGGAGGTCCAAATATTTTGGAAAAAATGGTCCTCACAAACAGTAAAAAGCCTTAGTTGACACAGGAGCGGAGGCGTCCTTGATACATGGGAATCCAAAGAAATTTAAAGGACAACCTGTAATTATTACAGGTCTGGGAGGGAAACAAATTGAAGCTGTACAAACTCAAATTGAAATGAAAATAGGAAACCTCCCAAAACGACTGTATTCAGTCATGATTGTCCCCATTCCTGAATACATAATAGGAATAGACATTTTGAAGGGACTAACTTTGAATCTCCCAGACGGTCAGTACCAGTTTGGGGTGAAAAAATCATATCAGTATTAGAACAATTTTAGTAGGAAAAGTGAAAATGCCTCCTGTACAGATTCCTGCTGCTACTAAATTAGTGACTATGAAACAATATAGAATTCCAGGAGGGCATGAGGAGATATCACAGACAATTAAAGATTTATTAGATGCAGGAGTGTTGAAACCAGTTACCACAG